GGGCTCAAGCGAGTCTCCTGCCTCAGCCTCCCAAGTAGCTGGGACTACAGGCACCTGCCACAACGCCCGGCTATTTTTTTTTTTTTTGGTTGCAGCCGTCGTTGTTTGGCGGCCCGGGCTGGATTTGAACCCGCCACCTTAGGTGTATGTGGCTGGCGCCTTAGCCACTTGAGCTACAGGAGCCAAGCCAGAATAGTTTACTCTTCTAGAAACTATATTGGGTTGTTTTTTAGTCTTCTTAGGTTGCCATAACAAAATACCACAGGCTAGGTGGCTTAAGCAGCAGAAATTTATTTTCTCACACTTCTAGAAGCTACAAGTCCAAGATGAAGGTGTTGGAAAATTGGATTTCTGGCGAACCCTCACTTCCTGGCTTATAGATGGCTGCCTTCTTGCTGTGTCCTTAAGTGGTGTTTCCTCTGCATGAGTGTAGAAAGAGAAAGCTTTTTTGTATTTCTTCTTATAAGGACATAAGTCTTACTGGATTAGGACTTCATTTGTATGACCTCATTTAAATATCTTCTTAAAGGCCCTATCTCCAAATAAAGTCATGCAGGTGGTTAAGGCATTAGTATGAATTTTGTGGAGAACACAATTCAGTCCATAACAGGTTATCTCTAACTCATTGTCTTAAAACAGGAATTTTTAGTATTATTTTTTAAAAGTATGTATTTTATTTTAGGTAGATCCACAACTTGTGGATGGACACCTTTCATATTTTCTTGGAGCTATAGGTATGCCTGGTTTGACTTCCTTGATTGGGATACAGGAAAAAGGTCATATAACTGCTGGATCTAATCAGACAATGGTTGTCAGTGGGGCTGCAGGTGCCTGTGGATCCTTGGCTGGGCAAGTAAACATTCTGAGAATTATTTGATTACTATGAGAATTCATAATTGAATTTCTAGATCTATGTATATAATTTAAAATTTTAAATTGAACAAATTTATCATATTATTATTTCACATATTTCTGGTAGAAATAGTGTTATTACCTACTTAAACCCTCTTAAGAACCTGAGGAAAAAAATGTAGATTTTTTTGTGTCCTATTTTCTATTAACTAAAAGTAATTGTGGTAATGCTAGAACATTGCTGTCATCATTATAAGAAAAAGAATGGCCCAGAGTGGTGGCTCATGCCTGTAATCCTAGCACTCTGGGAGGCCAAGGAGGGTGGATTGCCTGAGCTCACAGGTTGGAGATCACCCTGAGCCACAGTGAGACCTGTGTCCAAAAATAGCTGGGCGTTGTGGTGGGCATCTGTAGTCCCCACTACTTTAGAGGCTGAGGCAAGAGAATCATTTGAGCACAAGAGTTTGAGGTGAACTGTGATGTCATGGCACTCTACAAAGGGCTACAAAGTGAGACTCTGTTTCAAAAATAAATAAGTAAATAAATAATGATTGAAGAACCTATCTGGAATTTCATGAATTAAAACAAACACACAAGCCAGGCATGGTGGCTCATGCCTATGGTCCCAGCTACTAGGGAGGCA